GTCATGTCCCAAATGCTATAAGCTCCTTGCAGGTAGGAACTGAAACTGTCTTATTCATTATCACCAGCACCTAGCATGATGCCTGGCAAATAGTGTGACAAACTAGTAAGGTAGGACAAGCAGAACAGGGAATCTGACACAGATAGTTAAATAAGCAGTTTGCAGCCATCTGGCAAATCCTATCTTCCCTAAACAAGGACACTTAAGAGTAAATGGTTTGCACTTCTACTCCCCAACTAGAGGGTAAATAGCTTAAATCACCCTACTTTGGGAGATAGCAGAAATCCAATTAGTGTCATTTGTCAACCGCACTCTAGGACAGATGAAGTTAAGGGAATAAATCTCATTTTGGCACATCAGCATAAGACTGATGAATATCCTGTTGAGATTCTCCCTTACAATGTCCCTTAAATTCCCAGGCTTTAAAACCCCTCAAAACAAAGGTCCCGGTGGGCACTCTCCCTTCCGGGAGCACTCTTGCCTTTTTTTGCTTTCCTCTTCTTTCCTCACAGGTATGTATCTCTTAAACTTTAAGGGACCCCAGAAGACTTGCAGCCAGGAAGCAATGGGCAGTGGCAGTTCATCCCAAGCTAACCCACTGAACCTGTCCTCTAGGCCCCCTCTTCTCTGACTTCCCAGGGAGCTAAAGCAGCCCTGCCAAGGTTCATTTCTTTCCTATAACATATCCAGAGAGCCAAGGAAGCCAAGTGTGGGCTCTCCCATTGCTTTCTTGTTTCATTGTCTCCAGCTTTAATAAATATACTTATAAAATCACCTGACTTATGTTGTGAAACATTTCCTGCACAAAGTCAAGAGCTCAATCATTACTGGCTGGCCCTAGGCAGAACCGCTCAAGGCCAGGTCCCCTTCCTGGTGACAACAGCAGACACTTTATACACCTGTGTTAAATAAATGTGTGAATACATGGACATTAATTAACCATGTAAGTAACCATTCAGTTTACTCAAAGTTGTTAAAAGATGCTCACTGTCTTGGAAGAAAACTCTCCAATATTATTGCTGACATCAATTGACACTTATTCCTGTGGCATTTACAATGCAATTTACAATTGTTTGCTAATCCAAGAAATCTCCCAGTGAAAGATTCTACCCCCACCCCCAATATTTAAATAAAAAAAAATAATAATAATTCTATATTATTTACTGTTTACTTTGTTTGGGAAAAGACAAATGTTTTCTTAGTAAACTCTATTTATTACATCTGCTCCATGCTATGCCAAGCTAGGTGCTGTAAAAGTGATTCAAATGACTATCATTATTAGTAACGGTCTGTGGAGGAGAAAAGGGCCACATAGTACACTTGCCAAGCTCGAGGGAGGCCTTCAAGGCAGGACTTACAAACTGAGAGGCCAAAAGTAACCACATAATGTTACTGGAGCAAAGGGAATGAGATGCTAAGCTCAATAAACTGGGGAGCATGAGCCTGTTGCTTCACCAGGAAGCTACAGTTCACACCTCAGGGGATCACAGCATTTCTCGATCAATGGCATTAACTTTCTTCTCTTCCCCACTCTGGTTCTGATTTGTTGGGGGGTGCAGAGGAGGTGCTTGACCAAACAGGCCTGTCAGTCTAACTATCGTATATACCTATCAAATGCCTGTGAAAACTTGAGAAGTTGATTGCTTCTTTTGAAAAAACACCTGTTCTGTCCCAACCCCAAACTAATATAAACCCAGGGGCCCAAAGAAGTATTAGCGTACTCTCTCTATCATCTCTATCTCTATCTCTACTTCTATCTCTACCTCTATCTCTACCTATCTCTATCATCTCTATCTCTCTCTCTCCCTCCCTCCTACCCAGTACTGCACTCACCCAATGCACTCATGCATTCTTTCTCTCCTGGGAGCAAGTGAACATGTGGGTCTAGCGGCTACTGGGGCCTGTGGCAGACTGTGCAGGGCTCCAAAACACTAAGTTTAATAAGAAGCAGAAACTCTAGACACTGGCTTTTATTTTGGCCTTGCCAAGGACACAGCTGGACTTTTTCCAAGATGGGACAAACAGAGATGGGACACTGGAAACCCAGTAGGCAGCTTCATTTTCACCTGAATAAACCGTGCATGGGTCCTCGGAATGGTTTCCTCACAATGCGGTGGAAATGCTTCCTTTCCACCAAAAACAATAGGATGGGCTACATATTAAAATTGCTATCTAAAAGTGGATCCTGGCAGGTAGTTAAGTCTTAGGCCCGTACATTCCATGACAAAATTCAATCTTTATCTTAAGTGAGCCTATGGTCTTTTTGCATCTAAGAACATACCTTTGAAATGTCAGAGGAATCTCCTTTTCCAGGCCCCTCAGGGCACAACCTGCTGCACCAGAGCAGAAGACCACAGAACCCCTCATTATTATCTTGTTCCCTCATATACCATCATGATGTGCTGTAAATGTTAATTATTAACTAATACTGTACCCATCAATGTAAAGCAAGTATGTGTCTCTCTGGTTTACTTTTTTATCCAATCTCAGAGATTTCCCTGCTTTGTTTTCTCCCACCCCCTTCATCTACCACCAATGGATTTCATGTAACCCCCTCCTTACGTCTCCTCCTTTGATGCTAGTGTATAAAATAAGCTACAAAACTGCCATTCTCCAGAGCATTTTTCTGAATTCTTTGAGAGTTTTCTTCATGTTAACTGTTATCAGTTTGGCTCAAATAAACTCATACAAAATTCTCTACAGGTTTGGATGTTAAGTCTCACTATACCAACAACAGTTGACATCATAGGTCTACTTTTTTATGTGGTATCTCACTCAAAGCTTTAAAGGGTTTGTTCCTCTAAGTATTGTAGATAAGGAAACCAGAAAGTTTAAGTGACTTGTCCAAGGGCACAGAGCCAATAAGAAGCAGAGCTGAGGTGTGATTCCAGGTCAGCCTGACTCCAAAGCCCAGGCAGGCTCTTAACTCTATCCTGCTGACCATGTTATGTTCAGAGGAGATCTTCAAGGGACAGGGAAAATGCAAAGACAAATAGGGAAGAACAATGGCTCCAAAGCAGTCTCAGCTAAGTGTGACCTAGCCTAGCAGGTAACCACATGTGACTGTGGACAATCTCTCTAGCTTCAGTTCTTCATCTGTGAAACAGAATCAACAATAGTAGATGAGAGCACATGGTTGAAGTGCCTAAAGAGTACTAACCTATAAGTTAGTATTATGCTTAGTAAGTCAGTCATTATCAGGGATGTTGTAAACAACCAACCAACTCTTCACTATACTCAGATTAAAAATATACTCAAGTGCTAGCTCCTCTTTACTTTTAGAGGGTATGAGGATGAGAAAGAATATGACAGTAGAGTCAAATTGACTAAGGAGGCCAGGAGTCCTAACTCTCAGGACTGTGGGCCACATGACATGTGACAAAATGCACTGTGAGTGACTGTAAAGCTCCCTGGCTTCTCCCCAGAGCTTCTCCCCCTGAGCAGTTGGCTCATGATCAGGTGAAGGGAGAAGGGCTGTGGATTTGGCATTGCTGCCCCACAGACACTGCAGGGGATGGGCCAGGTTGAGAAGTCAACCCGATTTTGCCCTTTCCAGCCGTTACATTACTCAGGTGGTTGTCACCCACCCACCTCTGAGGTATGACGGCTTCCCTACCTCCTGCTCTCACTGACTATGATTCTGAGTATTTGTCAGCTCCAGGCGAGCCAGATGGGCCCTCTTCTGTGAGGAAAAGACCTTTTGTGTGTGGCATGGCCCATACACCCCGCAAAGGCAGCTGAAGATTCCATTCCTCAGGGTCCACACAGCTCATGGCTCTCACTCGCACCCAGGCTCTGTGGGGTCCCAATGGGAAGGTGTAAGGTCTTCCTCATCTCCATCTACCCCCTGAGAAGTTCCTCTTTTGAATCTCCTATTGCTACTGCAGGACTTGAACTCTTCCAAGATATCTGCTTTCTCTTTCCCAAACCTGCTCTTTAGTCAATTCTCCCACAATCTGGCAGTATTTCCCCCCAGCTTCAGGTGTCCTATATATACACCCTGGGCCTGTACTGCATGTACATCTGCCCCTGCCCCTCCTGGCTTCTCACATGTTTTTCATCAGCAGCTGTTTTCACAAGCAATGTATCACCTCCTAGTCACCCAGGCCTTCTGTTTCCTTCTCCTGGTTCCAGACACAAACCCTCACCACTCTGCACTCTGATTAGTTTGCTTGGAAGTTACCCTGACTCAACCTTGAAAGGGACAGACCCCTGAGGGAGGAGAAGGGAGTTAGTCAGAACCTCTGGTTACTTTATGAAGGTCTACCAGGTCCACGGACACCATCTTCACACAAAAGACCCAGACCTCAAGGCCTGGCTGTCTCTTCCCCACAGGAACCCCTCAGACCTTCCCATGACCTTCACCCTAAACTAAGCAGTACTGTGTCTGTATTGGACACAATGCATTCACCTCCCATCCTGACATTCTGGCTCTGGAGCCTACCCTGACCGCAAAGCACAACAGATGGGGAACAGAACGCTGCTCTAAGCAGCACTGTGTGACTGGAGCAAGCCATCAGTATCCCTAGCCCCAGTTCTTCTGGGAGTAAAACAAGGGCTACCCTGAGTGTCATCATACAACAGCTTGTGGCACAGGACCAAGAGCACAGGGATGCCTATAGGGAACATACCACCCCCACCTCCTGAAAACCACTTCCACAACTGGGAGATATGCAGGACCCCTTCTTTGACTTTCGCAGGAGCCTGATGACCAGCCCCTGGGCTGGCTTATAGGACACTCGGCTTGCAATAGCCCAGTCAGTCTGCTGCAGCCACACTCCCATTTGCCAGGTTGCTAGGGAAGAAGTGAGTACTCATATAGCCAATAACAAATGACCAATGGCTGTCTCAGATCCAGGTGAGAGACCTGAGTAGCAGATGGTCCTCTGTGTTATTAGAGAAATTTGAAATTAGGCAGGTGGTGGTGGGTTTCAAGCCACATATGGGAATTTTTTACAGATACAGGCTAAGTTTATGAAGAATAATAAACAAATTCTTACTTTATTGTGCCCTCCATTTTTGAAGCTGCCTCATGGAATTGCTGTGAAGATAGTTTATACATCTCAGCATTCTACAAAGAGAAAGACACAACTGGTTACCAAAGACTAATATTTTCCTCAGGCCCTTCATGAAAATTTACAGGTGCTAGTTTCTTGAACAGTATCAAAGAAGACTGGTTGCTGATCCACCGCTTGGGTCTAGCTCTCACTCTGGACCAACCATAGCTACAGAATCCAGAGGAGCAAAGGATGGGAGGGCATGGATCCTTTAGTGCCCAGGTCAGCCTACCACCCATAGCAAATCCCAGCCTGACACCTGGTTTTGTAAACAGTTTTATTGGAAAACGGTCATACTCGAGATTTGTTTACACATTATTTCTGGCTGCTTCTGTGCTACAATGGCTCAGTTTAGTGGTGGTGACAGAGACTATATGGCCAATAGAGCCCAAATTACTTACCATCTTTAAAGAAAAAGTTTGCCGAGTCTGGATCTGGCCCAAGTCTTATTTTATAAGTAGAGTCTGTTGCCTAGAGAAGTGAAGCAACTAACCCAAGGTCACACAGCAAGTGGCTGTACCAGGACTACAGCCCAGGTGTCTGATCCTGAGTTAGGCACGTGCCTTCCTGCCTGCCAAGACCAAGGTGTTTCTTGGCATGGTGACTGTCTGGCCAGAGCCTTGCAGGCTGGTTCCAAAGGCACACACTTACATCCTTCCTGAGGTAACCTAGTGAACATGCATGTACAGAGCCAGGCTGATGTGGGGACAGCCAGGTTTGCAACAAGGTAGAGCTGGATTGAACCCTGGGGGCCACCAAAGTGTGACTCTGGGTCATTCCACTTCTTTGTGACTCAGAAGCAAATTGCTCCAGTCCACACAGGCCCAGAATCCAACACTCTCCACTTATTTCCCCAAGGAGACCAAAAGAAATGCACCAGCTACCCCCACCCACCACCATTGTTTTTCACAGAGAACCGTGAGGCTTTGACTGGTAGACTGACTTCTTGCAGAAAGCAGTCTCAAGAATGAAACCACCCAGAGGACTGCCCAAGACAAGGGTGGCAGTCAGACCTCCCCAGCAAGGATGACAGGATAGCAGTCAGATAGCCTGACTTGAGGGGAATGAGCCCCCTCTTAGATGGGCTGAAGAAGGTAACAGGTGCCCAGTCAGAGCCAGACAGGGAAAGCACCTTGCCCCATCATCCATCTTCAGGGAAGGTAACCAAGGTAGGGCAAGAAGCAACTCCCCTAGGGCCAACAGGACCTTAAAGGTGAAATATGGACATAAACAGGCCCTTACCCCTATGCCTATACCACAACCTCAGGGAAGAGCCAAGTGGGAGGTAAACATGGAAGGCTGTTTCCAAGGAAGTACACCTGTGGCAGGAACCACAGTGTACAAACTCTGCTCTGGGTAGTGCTGGGGAGAGGCCAATGCCAGGCCTTCCACTCCCAGCTACTGAGTGAGCCTGGGTAGGACACACACCACCTCTTCCTGGTTTATGTCCTCATCCCTGAACTGGGAGATAGCTGACGCCTTCCCTTTGATGACCATCAGACCCATAGCTGGATGAGAAAGCTGCCGCCACATGACAGGTACAAAATAAAATGGTGTTCTCCTTCCTTCACAGCCAGGCTGCCCTGGCTCCCACAAGTATATGCTCACTCCAAGTTGCCCAGCATAGTTCTCTCTGGAGCTGGATGTTCTAGCCAAGTGATGATGATTTTTCTTCAACCAGCCTGACATTCATCCGACACTGACTATTCCGGGCAAGGGAATAAGGACAGAGATGAATGAAGTCTCGGCCTCCTCTCCACTCTGAGAAGCATCTCTTTTGTGACATTCTGATGGGCATTGCTGAGACTCAGTTTGTACCTCCAGTTCATGGGCCTTCACAAAAGACTGCACAGTCCAGAGACCCACACTTTAGCACAAGCTGCTTGTGTTCTTTGGGTCACATACTTCCTTGAACTTTGTTTCACTATATGACAGGATACTCCCTTCCTCACAGGGTGGCTGAGAGACCATGCCTAGTGGTACATGGCTCAGGATAACTTCCCTATCCACAGTAGCCATCTAGTCGCACCATGGAACTTTCTAAAGCTAACATGTGCCTTATCTAAGCAGCCCCCAACTGATTCCAGTCTGTTTCCTTTTCCACAAGACAGCCTCATAACTCAGGCCTTCTCCTCTGCAAAAATGTCAGGCCCCCATTTTCCAGGCCCCACTACTCATCAATGTCCCATGTCCCAGTCCCAGTATCCATGTCCCAGATGGGCCCAGCATGCTGTGGGCTGACAGAAAGCTCAGTGTCTTTGTTCTGACCCTGCATTTCCAGGCACACATATGGGAAAGGGTGAATACAGTAAGCAGTTAAACTGACCACAAGCTCAGACTGAACATGTGGTCAGTAAGATTTGTCACAGGAAGTGCCCACAGGCCAAGAAAGTGGTTGTGATTACACCACTGCAGCTTCCTCTATTGTTTTGCAGAATGACTCAGAAGAGGTCCCCTTCCTCCCTGACCCATGCACCCTTCCATCTAATCTGCCTGAGCAGACTCAGGAGTGACGAGGTACTGTGGAATACCCCACTATTGCTCCCCTGGTACACAAAGGTCCTGGTCAAGCCTTGGGAGTACTGAGCTGGCTTCCTCTGTTCATGAAGGCTCCCTGTGCCTTCCTGAGTCTTCTGAAGGGCATCCAGAGCCCTCTGTCCTCTTCTTGAAATAGCAGGGCATGCTGCAGACTTCTAGACCACACCACCATCAGGGGCTTCTAAAGGACTAGGGGCCACTGACATTCACACAGGGAACCCAGTGAGTATTGAGACAGGCCTCATGGAGCTCTCAGACAATGCAACATCACATTTACAATGGACATTTGGCCAGTCATCCCAGGTGATGTGGAGGCACCAGAAAGGACGGCCTGGGACAGATCATCAGCTTGGCTTCTTAGGAGCCAATGGAGGCCTAAATCTTCCTTTCTTTTTCTTTTTTCTTTTTTTACCTTAAACAATGTTTTAGAACAAACAACATAACACATGGTTTAAAAAGTCAAAAAAGAAAGGACATAGGGTAGGTATTTGGTGACCAGCAAGCTTTTCAGTACCCTGGACCTCAGCACTTTCCTCTCCTCCACCGTGCGCACCTGAGTGGACTCACCTATGCACATCCACCTTCTGGCACTTACTTCTGGTAAGTGAAGACACTTACTTCTTGGAAGCTTCATCCATTTACCTGCTGAATAGTATCCCGTTGTAGGACGTGGTGTCCCACAGCTCACATTGGCAGTTCCCCACTGTGCACATTAGCTGTTTCCCATCTTTGGCTATTACAAACATGCTAAAAGACATACCATGGCATCTATACCTTTGTGTTCTAGTGAGCATGTCTAGGAAGGTATATTCTAGGAGTCATATTCTTGGGTCAAAGGGTACATCCACTGTTAATGAACTGAGTCTTATAGGATAAACAGAAATGAGTTAATAATAAGGGAGTTGTATAAACAGAGGCAGCAGCGAGAGGGAGCATGAGGAGTACCCCTCAGTGGGTACAATAGTCCCATCAGGAACAAGAGCAAGGGAAGGATCTGGGAAGAAAGTCAGCCTGGTACCCAGTGAGGTGGGTAGGGGGAAAGTTGGGGTCTGAACTGAAGGCTGAAAGGCTGGACCTCAGTTCACAGTCAATGAATTTTATTTTTTTAAGCAAGGGAGAGGCAGGGTTGATTTGTATTTCAGAAGGAGCATTCTGGCAGCTGTGTGGACGGTGGAGTGCAGAACCAGGGGAGCACCTGGGTCCCCATAGCGTGATCCCCTATTACCCTGTCTGACAAGGAGCCCTGTTACTCATTCATAAGTCATTGGGAAATCATTCTGAAATGCATTGTACTAAATCTGCACACATTAATTAACACCCACTGATAGTGAACTGTTATTTCTGGAGAATTTTTCTTTCCCATCAGACTCTTCTGATTCCTGATTTTGGAGTCTTTTTCTTTGCCCTATAAATGGCAGCCCTCCTCCTTTCTCCTCCTCCTCCAGCTGCTCTGTATGCACATTTGAAACCAGAAAACCTGATTTCCATTAATTAAATCTGCCATTAAAAATTAAATAACGTGAGCAAGAAGGTATGTTATCTCTATGGGTTTCAAAAGTCACAGTGTTTCTTCAATTACTTCCCAAGCAGTTTTCATATTTCATACTGTCTGATTTCTCCAAGGGCTTGAATTTGCAAGATCAAAAGAGAGTGCAAGGGTGAGGGGAAGTACAGTGAGAAGTTTCAGAAGGGGAGGACAGGGAAATAGTTGTGGCAGGCCAAGGGAATGGTTCTGCAGCCCCCACTAAGGATCTGCAACACAGGTGGGGAGACCTGTTTAACCCACTAGCCCATTCTCAGAGCAGGTGCATGCAATTGTGGACAGGAAGAAAACCAAGCTCATTATGACAGTCTGCAAAGGAGCGACTTGGGAACTTGAGAGCCCTGACATACACATACCTGCACTGGGTGTCATGGGACATGAAGATTCTACAAGGCATTTCAGTCCAGCAGAAGGAAAGAACTAAGGTCTAAGGGGCGTGCCAGGATCAAGTGAGAGGCGACCTGGGGCAGTGAGAATGGATATGGGCCCTCGAGTCAGATGGGCTGAATTAGGACCCTGTTCCCATGAATGTGTAAACATGGGCCAGCATCCAGACTGGGTGTCTACCTCCTTGGCTTTTCGTCTATAAAATGAAGATATTAATAGTGCCTCCTTCATACAGTTTTGTTGGAAGTGGTATAGATTCAATGAGATAATGCGTACAAAATGCTCAGAACAGTGCCTGGCATAGAGAAAACTCAATTCATGTTTTAAGAACTTAACACTCAAATATACATCAACCAAGGAATACTTCTGGATGAGAGGCCTGGAAGTGCTAAAAGAGTAAGGAGAAGTTACTTAATGATGGAAAGTCCACTAAGGGAGGGATTTTCACATGTCTTGCTTGCTGATCTATCCCCAGAGCCTCTCTCACTGCCTGGCACATAGTAGGCCCTCAATAAAAAGTTGTTGAGTAAATGGAAATAGGGGTCA